GTGAACGGGAAGTCTACAGCCTTGTGGCTGCATGCGGTGGTCCAAGAACAAAAACTGACCTCAGGCTAATGTCCAGGGATGCCTTTGAAGCTCCGCCCCCTGACCCTAGTCCCTCCCCTTGACCTGTTGCATAGGAGTTCATAGACTTATACAAGATACATAGAGAAATACAAGAGAAATGGATCTATGATCCAGAACACTCCCCGCTTGGAAATTAATATTTCCACTACTTACTAACTAAATATGGAAAAAAAATAAGGATATAGCATTAAAGTATACAGTACTCAATGTTGACTAACTTGTGACTACATAGGTAAAAACTTGGTATCAAACATGCATAACTATTGGTAAATATAAAGCATGCACAATATGCAAAAAATAAGCAAGTGTTAAATCAGACAATGCATAAACACAATACATCATTTGAGGTTTCATCTTCTGGTTCAGTCTTCATCAGCTACGGTGCCAAATCGGAGATCAGCCTGGTACAAGTGTCTTTGAGTCACGACCTGACTCACGTGGCTTCACGATCTGAAAGTCAGCTTGCCAGAGTATTTCATCAGCTGGGTGGGCCCGGTGTGCGAGTCCCTTGGGCCAATAGTTCTGGTATGCGTTCTTGTCTCTAAGTGAGACAGGGTCTTCTTCCTGTAAAGGGAACTGGATTCACAGGATACTCAGGAACTGAAGAACCTGGAAAAACAAGAACAGCTGGATCCGGAAACACAGGAACATCTGGAAACTCAGGAACATCTGGAACAGCTGGATCTGGAAACACAGGAACAGCTGGAATTGCAGGATCAGGAACAACAGCTGGGACTGAAGGATCAGGAACAACTGGAAACACAGGAACAGCTGGGTCTGGAAACACAGGAACAGCTGGGACTTCGAGGTTCAATTTTCCAAGTCCGTCTTCTTCAGTAGAAGGACTAGGTCGGTTATTGGTCGGGTGTAGAGCCTTTTGGCAAGAGACGCGGGGTCTCTATCGTTCTCATGTGTCTTCACTATCTGAACCTCAATTTGGCGAACGAGACCATCAGAGCTCGGTGCGGCCCGCTGCACAAGTCCCATGGGCCAATGGTTTCTCTGGACATCTTTGTCTTTTAGCAAGACTAGATCGCCTTCTTGTAGGTTGGGTTCTTTGAATTTCCACTTGTGCCGTTCCTGGAGGGTAGATAAATACTCATGTCTCCATCGCTTCCAGAAGGTGTTGGCCAATAGCTGAACTTGTTTCCATTGTCGGGCATACAAGTCATTAATGGTGAAATTTCCCACTGGTGGTGGCCAATCATCTGTCTTTTGAGTTAATAAGGTAGCTGGGGTGAGTATGGTGGGATTCTACGCGTCCGAAGATACTGGAACCAACGGTCGAGCGTTGATGATGGCTGCAACTTCCGCCATTAGGGTAGTGAGAATTTCATGCGTAAGTTTTGGTGTCTCAGTCAACATGGAGTCCAGGATTTTGCGGGCGATACCGATCATGCGTTCCCACGCACCTCCCATGTGAGATGCATGGGGGGGATTGAAAACCCAGACGCAATTGTGGGCTAGTAGGTACCTGCCAATGTGTGAGTCGGGACGAATGCCTTCATCGATTTGCAATTCTTTGCAGGCCCCTACAAAATTAGTGCCTAGGATGGGTTCAGTGATCTTCTCAGCTATTTTGAAGCAAATTTGAAGAACTTGTCTCTTTGACCACTAGGGGTCGCTACTGTGTGGGTGGAGGTGGCTGGGAGCGTTCTCCTGTGGTTCCTAGCTATTTAGAAGCAAATTGGATGAACTTCACTTTTTGACCACTAGGGGTCGCTATCTGCAGGTGGAGGTGCCACTGGAGCGTTGTCCTGTGGTTCCTAGCTAATTTGAAGGAAATTGGATGAACTTCACTTTTTGACCACTAGGGGTCACTATCTGCGTATCAGCTTCAGGGGTGCTGTCTGTAGGTGGAGGAGCCACTGGGAGCGTTGTCCTGTGGTTCCTAGTTAATTTGAAGGAAATTGGATGAACTTCACTTTTTGACCACTAGGGGTCGCTATCTGCGTATCAGCTACCGGGGTGATCTTCTTTCGAGGTACACCCTTTGTCCACTAGAGGGCTTTCTCTGGGCGTGATTAAAGGCTCACGTGCAGCTCCTCCTTTAACCACTGGGGGACGTCTGAAGAGAGGTCAGCCAAATTCTTCCTATTACCACGTACCTGCAGGGCCACTGAGAGGCATGAACTCCCACCTGGTCGTTAAGTTGCAGGCTGGAACACACTGGGGTATTCAGCTTGTAATAATAGGCAAGGATTGATGGCTATGTGGCCTTCTTCTGTGACACTCAAAACTGGAAGAAACTTGGATCTCCAGCTTGATTGGGTGAAAACTCTAGTGGGGGTGTCTCAACTAGGCTGGATTTGAAGTAAATTATCAAATTGTTGTGATGTGAAATGAGTAGGAGACCAAATTTTTTTTCAAGGTGTCATGTGCAGATAGGCCACTAGGGGGCGCTACTGTCCTGCTATTGGGGCTGTTCTGCTCTTGCCTCCAAGATTCCCTTAACACCGGTTGAAATTCCAGGCATTCCTTAGGGGGGGAAAGTGAGTGAGAGAGAGCAGCTCAATGGTTTAATTGCCCTCTTCCTTGACGATGGTTGCTAAGGTCAGTGAACAAAGGGACGGGAAGGGGCCCCTTTTGCTTGTTGATTTAAACCCTTAGTTTTAAAGTCGCTTGGCAGTCCCAAACAGTTCTATTGTAAACGTAAACAGCTCTGCAGGCAGTCTTAAGAAACACTCTTTTGATTTTAGGAATGCAGCCTTCGCAGGCAAGAGTTTAGTTGTTTTAAAACTTGGCTTGCAGAGATGACAGCAAATCAGCAATACAATGCATTTAGAACACACCTTCAGACACTTCAAGTTACTTTGCATGCAAGAGAAGTTTGCTTGTTTCTTTAAAGTTTGAAGAACAGAGGAAACTTAATCTCATCAATTCACTATTGCAGGAGCTTAGAGGAGAATGAATCTATCAATGTACTTTGCAGAGATTTCTTTACTTAGTTTGCAGTTTGGAGATCAGAGGAAAATTAAAAAATATCAATTTACTATACTGTTCTCAGATAGGAAATATGCTTCCTTTCCAGTCTTTAACAGATAGATAACTCAGAAGAACACACAGGTTTATTGCTTTTATTCTGGGAATCCTAGACAAGACTTACAGTTTGTAGAGGTTCATCCAAAATAGATGGTAGCAATCTGTCTGTCCCACAGGTAAATTGATATTAGATTTTCCTGGTTCTCCCAANGTGAACGGGAAGTCTACAGCCTTGTGGCTGCATGCGGTGGTCCAAGAACAAAAACTGACCTCAGGCTAATGTCCAGGGATGCCTTTGAAGCTCCGCCCCCTGACCCTAGTCCCTCCCCTTGACCTGTTGCATAGGAGTTCATAGACTTATACAAGATACATAGAGAAATACAAGAGAAATGGATCTATGATCCAGAACAATCATTGATGGTGGTCCAGTGCAGGTCCCTATGGAGGTCTTCAGAATAATCCTTCTCCATCTGAGGCAGGAGCTGCTGTTCCCCCCCCCCCAATAAACAAACTGTCTTCTCTTTTTGCCATCTGCCAGATCGATGGAAGAGATGCAGAAATAATCTCTATCTGGAAGGACAACCTGCGATGATCTGACAAAGTGTTCCTTCTTCTCCATGTACTATTTAGAAGGTGAGACACAATCACTGTTGTCGTGGCAAACATCAGGAGTGAGTGTGATTGTTGCCGATTATTGCTGCTCTTTAAGGCACAATACTCTGGTCTTCGGGTATACCTGACAATCAAGACCAGCAGGATTGTTGGAGGTGGGGAATTAATCCTCAGAGTGTTTCCAAGGTGGTCTTGTGGGGATCCTGGGCTTCCTCTGATGGGTTGCTCTGCAGGGGAAGATCCGGCTCAGCTCAGCCTCTCTGGCCCATCAGCTCCCAGGCAGGAGAGAGAAACAGGGAAGGAGCCCAGAGCAGGAATTGGGGCACCCTGGAGAAATGGGGGATTTCTGTCCAGGAAGGACTGGAGGGGAGGGGGAGAAGGAAAAGGGCAGCTGGGGCTATCCAGGAAAAACATGCTCCTTGGCCAGGATGAGCTGGAGGCACAGGGGAACCCTGGGGGAGAAGTGAGGGGGAGGGCACCAGCAGCTCTTTGTGGAGTGGGGGGCTGGCAATCCTTCCTTCCTCTTTGACTGCTTCTCCTCATGCCTGCTGAGATTCCAGTGGGGGGACTAGAGAGCCGAGGGGAAGAGGGAAGAAACACCCCCCCCATGCAAAAGGAGGTGTTGACTTCCTTCATTTTTTCTCTCTCCCTAAAGCACAAGCCATCCTGTGGACTGCAAAGGACACAAAGTGATCCAGAAATCACTGTGTCTTTATTGCGTAGGCAAGAAGTAAAGCCACCTCAAAAATATAAAACGTGGAATGGGAGAGACATCTCCAGGCCAAGACCAGCCCTAATTCTACACCATCAGAACCGTCCAAAACCAAAAGACCCAGCAGCTCCAGAAGAAAAAATCGGAGTTATCTACTAGTCCAACCCACACCGTGGAATCCAAGGCAGGACCCCAAAACCAATAATTAGGAATCACTGCACTCATCACGGATTCTGTGCTTCCTGGAGGAATTCCTTGCTGGAAATAATGGGAGCAACTCCTCGGACAAAGGGAGACCCTCAGATTTCCAATTTTTTTAAAAAAAATAGAGGAGAAAACGATAATCATATATACAGGCGGTCCTCAGCTTACGATCGCAACTGAGCTCCAAATTTATGTTGCTAAGTGAGACACTAGCTGAGTTTTGCCCCATTTTACAACTTTCCTGTCCACGTTTGTTCAGTGAACCGCTGCAAGGGTCAAATTAGTCACCCTGTTGTTAAGTGAATCTGGCTTCCCCATTGGCTAAGGTCGCAAAAGGGGATCACGTGACTCTGGGACACGGCAACTGTCATAAGTATGGGTTAGTGGTCAAGCGGGTTAGTGGTCAAGCACCCGATGGTCAAGCACTTCGGACGGTCACTAAATGAACTGCTGTAAGTCGAGGACTCTCTGGAGTCATAGGGAAGGGCATTCCCCAGGGAAGCCGAGGTGCTTCGGACTGTGCAGGAGGAAAACGGAGGACAGGCGAATCTCCCGGGGCACAAACGGTTGCTGGGCCCGCTTGGCGCTCAGAGCCGAGGAAAGAGCTGAAGATGGGGGGGGGGGGGAGGGGCGGGGGTAAGCAAGGACCGGCTTCTCTCCGGACGGAGCCCCGAAGGGCTGCGCAGAGGCGGGTGAAGGGAAGGGAGGCCACCAGGCGGGCGCTCCGGGGCTCCCGGACTTTTCCCTGTGGAGGCAGAGACTCCAGAGGGACCGCGAAAGCGCCGAGCCGGGCAAGGAATGAAGAAACGCCGCGCTGGGCGTGGGAGCTGCGTGGGGGCTCCAGGCAGAGACGGAGGAGGCCGGAGAGAGAGAGCGAGCGAGCGAGCGAGGACGGCCAGGGAGGCTGCGGGGCGTCTGGGTCCCTCTCGGACCTTCCGGCTTTGGCCGCGCCTTCAGGGGGGAGGGAAGGAGAGGGAGGGGATCTCTTCTCTCCCCCCCCCCCTTTGAAAAGAGCCTTTCGTCTGAACGAAGAAAGAGATCGGTCGCTTTTTTTTTTAACAGGAGACAGCTGGGAGGTCGAACTGGTTAAGCAAATGGAGCTGTAAGAAGCCCATAAACTGGGGAGCTGTTTTGCAAAGGGGGGGTGGGGGGACCGCGAAGCTATTCTGGTTGAAATATACTTATCGGTATTCAAGGGGAGGGGGCAATCTACCTGCATGTCTGTTCTTTTTGTGCACATTTTTTTGTTTTGTTCACTTTCGTTCTTGTTCTTGTTTCTTTTCGGAGTTTGTATTTTGACTTCCAAAATAAAAAAAAAATAAAAAATAAGAAAAAGTATTAGAAAAAAAATCAACTGCATCAATAAATCCTTCCTGGGCACCAAAGGGACTCAGTACTTTTGCTGCTTGTTGCAAAAATAAAAGGTGACACCCTCCCCCCCCCCCAGCCGCCAGTTTCTTCCAGCAGGAAAAGGCTGTTCCAAGTGCCAAGAATGGGGAGAGTCTGATGGAGCCACCTCCGCCTCGGGTGTTTCTCTTCCTGTTCCAGGATCTGACTCTTCAAGCAGGAGACAGCCCTGCCTGGGCCTGCCCTTGGAGGCTACAGTTCACCCTCCACCCTAGAAACTCCTTTCTCAGCTCAGCCTACCTCACAGGGTTCTTGTGGGGACAAATGGGCAGGAATGCTTTTGTTGGGAGATCCTTAGCCGAGCGGCTTCTGTGATGGAGTGTTCGGGGAAAGAGCCAGGCCTCCAGGAAGAAGCTCCGCCCCATTGAGAACACGGAGCTGTGCTGTGAAGGGCTTTGGAAGGCAATCACACACACACACACACACACACACACACAACCACACTCGGAGGACTTTTCCTTCCCAAAGTCCAGGGAACCTCTGCCTTAAGATCTCCCCCCTTCCGGGCTTGCTGGTTTGCACCCCTGCCATTCCCCCCCCCCCAGTGCTTCCGGGAAGGCAGGGGGACAAGCCTTTCTGGGCACCTGGTACCTCTAGAGAAAATGGGAAATAAAACTGCACCAGGAAGGTGCAAACATCTCCGGCGGGGGGCGGGACGGAGGCAGAAGGGGCGGGGCTTTTCTTGGCTGATACTTCGGTTGCTGATATTTATCTTGACGGGTGAGGATTTCATAATTTCAGAAAGGGATTTCCCTTGCGGAACTCTGATAGTCACGCCCGGGTGTCTTTGGCTGCAGGAGGCACGAGGTGTAGCAGCCAAATCTGGGCAAAAGGATCCCCGGCCAGGATTTTAACGGAGGATTTCTCAAGGTCTGGGTGGCCCTGACAGTGGGAGGGGGCAGGTTTCAAAGCGGAGAAGAGTCTAAGCCCCTTCCCCAATTAGCCTCCTTGCCTGGGGAGGGGGGGAAACCAGATGATCAGCCTCAGTCTCCTTCTCCTCCTCCTCCTCCTCCTCCTCCTCCTGCTGGTTCTTATCCAGTTCTGAATCCAACAATACTTTAGTCACCATTTTCAACTCTTTAACGGAGAGGAATCGGGGCAGCTCCTGGCTGGGCTTTTTCAGGTAGAAATAGCACAGGGAGCGCCTGGGGGAGCCTGGAAGGGGAAGGGGGTGAAGGCAGAATTAAGGGTTGCACCTCCATTCTCCCCTCCCCCCCCGGTATATTATCCTCCACTCTAGCAACGACTTACTCAACGTTAAGATTTCCCATTAATTACTTAAGTGTCTCTGTTGGGAAGTTCTACCAGAAAGAAGCCGCGGGGGGGGGGGAGGGGAGAGGGGAGAGGGGGAAGGGGGAGGGGTCTCCGGAGGAGTCTCGCAAGAAAACTTAAGAGAGGAAGGCAACACTGTGGCTGCATTCACACAATAGGCGTAACGAGCTCGTTTGCAGGCTAAACCTGCCTGTGGATGACGTAAAGAGGGTCGCGGCTGCCTATTGTGGGGAAAGTCAGGCCAGGCGCTGCCCCCTTCCTTGTGCAGACGAGTCCAAAGAGGGGCGGTTCTCTTTTCCTGTAGTCGTTTGCTTTGTTCTGTCTCGGAATTTGACCGGAGCGGAAAACTTCAGCTGAGCTCGGAGCAGATGGGACGGGGGGCTCCAGGACGCGACCCGGCAACCGTCGGCGGTGCTTTCAGTCTCCGGGTGCGCAACGCTGTCTTCGGGCGCAAGTGCGGAGCTGCGCGTGGTCGGAGAGCGATGCGGCTGCATCCGGCGCCCCTCTTGCTCCTGGGGGCCGTGCTGGGGTCCTTGGTGCCGGGGAGCCGCTGCGGTGAGTTTCTGGAAGGGGTTGCGACCTGGTGGGAGGCAGCAGAAAGCGGGAGGAGGAGGGGGCGAGGTATGGGCAAAGCGTGTCCTGCCTGGGTCTCTCCCCCCACACACACACATTCACCCACCGTGGGAAGGTCCTTTCCCAGCAGGAGAACGTCTCCCTTCCCTCCTCCTCCTCCGCTGGGGCTCGCTTAAGCGCTGTTTGTATGCAGATTGTCATCCATTCCTGCTGGCATTTGAGCTGCGAACGTTCGATATTCAAAGTCCCCCCGCAGCTTCTCCTTTGGTTAAATTTGCTTCCCCTTATTTTATTTTATTTTTTAAATTTTCTGCCATCAGCTTATGAACGGGGGCCATACGCGCAACACACACGGAAGGTTTGAATAACCAGCGGCTCCCGTGGGACAATAACATTTGGTGTTTAATTTGTCATCAGTTCCGAGTGACTTTCTGAGCAAGGAGTGAAGTTCAAAGAGAGGACGTTTAG